TCAATTTACCGTTTCGACTTTCGAAGGTTCATCACATTGATTGATGTCGAGAAGATCGACGAATCAATCATATTCGGTAATCGCATTTTCAATTATTTTTATTTTAGTTTTAAAATTTTTATGATAAATAATAATTTTACTCTAATTTAACACATATTTAGATGTCATTGGAATGGTGGTCGAGATAAATCTTCTGCAATTGAATAATAAAGCATAATACTATTTTAAAATAACATAATTACAATAAAGCATCCTTAATATTTATCATTGAATAATATAATAATATAATTTTTATACCATGCTAATATACTAACAGAAATACATTTAATGATTAAACATGTGTACATTAACTCAGTCAATCTCTCTACACGAAAAAAAAAATCTAAACAACCAAATCAATTAATGAATTATTCAAATCATTGTAACTTATTATATCATCAAATCACAATTTGAAGTTAGTCAAATGATGTTCAAAAAACATAATAAAAATAATTACACACATGTAGATTTCGTGGTCATCTTTGTAGACCGAAAAAAAAAATCTTAACTACTTAACCAATTAATATACTATCCAAATAATTTGAACTTATCTTATCATCAACTCACAGTTTGAAGTTTTTAAAATTCATAATTTAAATTAATCTTATCATTTATTATTTTTATTATTATTATTATTATTATTATTATTATTATTATTATTATTATTATTATTATTATTATTATTATTATTATTATTATTATTATTATTATTATTATTATCCCATGCCTATTAATGAAAACGTAGATAACCTATCACAACACATCTTATACACTCCTATTTCACATACCAACAGAAAAATGGCAAGAGCATGGGACCACATCAAACAAATAACAAGGACCAACGACCTATGCTGAAGTTAAGAGTGGTTCGAATTTTTCAAGAACTAATGAATACTCTTTCTACAAGAACATCCTTGAAATTTTCTTGCATGACATTGAGGTATGAATCACAATCAAAATTAATAACTAATCTTCTCATATTTTACCCTAATCTTAATATTATCTTTTTTCACAGAGAGGTCGAATTTCAAAGAAGAAGTAACAACATTTTCTATTGTTAAGATGATAGGTGATTAAAATCTGGTATCTATGTACAGTCAGTGGGTCACCGAGAAAGAAGTAAGTTTAATAAACAAAAATATAATCATGTTGATTTATAAACAATGATTAAATTCAAGAACTTATAATATTTTCTATAAAATTTTACAGGAGCCTAACTTCTTGACTTTACAACAACATGAAGAGGCTAACAACGGCAAGGTCAATGTTCATTTTTCACACTTATTATTTTTCTTTAAAATTGTAAATTTATTTCATACAAATAATCATATACAATTTAAATACTAAAACTTTTATTTTGCAAATTGTTTCATAGGGCTGCACTGGAGAAGATGAAGTTCCAACACCTTTAAATCTCTGAAATGTAAAGAGAAGGTCGACAACACTTCTAATGCAAGGCAAAGGTGGACGAGCAAATGATGAAATAAAGGACAATTTTGATGAAGAATTGATTTGGTAAGATATTATTGGTTTACTAAAGTATTTTATTATAATATTAGGATTTTATTTGCTTTGAATACTTTCATTGAATAAATTGGCTTCGACAACATGAATAATTTAGGTTTTAATATTAGAGTTCAGTTTGTTTGATTTTATATTTGGATATTATTGGTTATTAATGATATTGATTTTTATGGCTAATGTTGTACCACATTTTTTATGTATCTAATTATATTAATGTTTAATACATATCGAAATAAATGAAATTATAAATAAAAACATTGGAAATTCATTTTTCTTTTATTTTTTTTTTTACTTTTTTTATTAATATAGATGTTAAAAGTTAAGTAAATTATAACAAACATTTATCACTTTATTTTTTTTTAAAATAAAACAAAATCAAACCTATACAATTGAACAAATGAATTAATTTAATACATTTTTTTGTCTTCTAATGTTTAAGTTAATAATATAACCACGCAGAACTAACTGTATAATTTTGTAATAATTAAAATTTTCGAACAACAAATACAGTGTATAAAATAAATAATTTAGAAATTAATTGTAAATATTAAAGCCCCATACATGAAAAAATAACAATATTTCTTTATGTTGTAATTTTTTCATGGAAGAGTTGATTATGAAACGTAATAATGGAATAAATAATATCAACACCTCACATTACTCAATTAATTATAATAAATAACATTCAAGTAAATAATCTATACATAATAAAAAGAGCAGTTGGGGTACATAACTCTAGCATTATAAAAAATAAAAAAAAAAATAAAACAATTATTTAAAATTTTAAAACATAACATAATTTAAAACATTTTTTATCATCAAAATGGTAAGAGTTTGGGATTGATAGAGTCAACAATAAAACAACACTTTGTGGTTATCCAAACAACTAACATAATACTAACACATGTTAAATACACATGTAAAGAAACCAATGTTCAATCATGACCAGTTATATGTTGTTGACTATGAACAAGAGACATAAACAATCATTATCTCATGTTGGCTTATTTCTTAAGAAAACAGTGTTCAGACATGACCAGTTATATATTGTTGTCTCCCGTGTCACTAATCGAAAAGGTTTGAAAATGTTTATTTGTGGGTAAGATGATATGCCAAAGAATCAAACCAATAATGTTGTATATAGAGAAGTGTTCAATAATATATGATTTTTTCAGTTTAATTATATGTTTATATGTCTAATCTTATGATCATTGCATTATTACCCAATTTATATACAAAATTGTCTTCTAAAAAGCGCATAGATTATAATTTTCCCGTGCATCGCACGGGTGATTACTAGTATTGAATAAACTTGGAGGAAAAAATTTACTCTAAAACTGTATTAATTACCTATAAATAAATTTGTCAATTTCTATGTAGATCTAATAATAATGACAATTATTTATTATAAATAAATTTGTATATAATTATTCATTGAGAACTTGCACTCTAATTCACATGGTCAAATAAAGATCAAAGTTAAATTGTTATTTCCAATGTAGAAAATTTAATAAAAAAAATATAAATATTTGTTGAAAATACTTATTATATTATTAGTGTGAAGTTTCACTCCAGTTTTCTATTAATTTATTTTTTGTTTTATTCCTTTGTGAATAACATAATTATTTGAATATGAAAAAAAAAACTATTTTATTTATGACAATGTCTCAAAGTGTGCATTGCATTTGTCCTAATATATATATATATATATATTTATATTTATAAATATAAAAGTGTGCATTGCATTTGTCCTAACATTTAATATTTATAATATTAAATATGTGTGTGTAATTGAAGTAGCTTTGAGAAAAATATTTTTCTTCCAAAACTAAAATAATATTTCCAGGAAATAAATATTTCAACTTTTATGTATAATCTATCATTCAAATAATAATTATATTTATTTACTAAAAAATATATATAATTTATATATAATTATGCATTGGGAAATTGCACTCTAATTCTCATGGAAAAATTAATTTTAATATTATTTTGTTAATTACTATGGAAATAATTAAGTCAACAAAATATAATTATATATTATAAATACGTATTATACAAATAATTACTTCGTGTGAACTTTCGTTCTAATATTTCAATAATCAGTTTTTTATTTTCTTCCTTAATGTGTAACATAACTATTTTGATACGAGAAAATTTATTTTTCTTAATAATGTCGCAAAATGTGCACTGCATATGTCATAATATTAGCGCGCGCACACACAGACACACATATATATAAGGTAAGTAACACAAAGGTAAAAAAAAAACTCCAAATATATATATATATATATATTATATACAAATAAATTTTATCAATTTATAACTATGATATATCATTAAACAATGAGTATAATCATATATTTAAGTAAATAATTAAGTTCATACATAATTATGCATTGAGACTTGCACTCCGATGTTAATGGCTTTAAAATAAATTTGTTAAATCCTATACTGATAATTCAAACAATAAAAGTAAGTATTTGTATAAATTTTTAATTCAGAAATAACACATTTATCAATATAGATTAGTTTATGTATAAATATATTATGATATTATTATA